GGGATCAGATCACCATCGACCTATGTATGAGCACAGTTATTCCCTTATTTAAAACGAGCTTAGCTTGTCCATATTGTCTCTTTGAATAAATGTCTTGAATATGATCTTCTCAGGATAGTAAATGATAGTACCACTTGAATGTTAAGGGTATCCCAAAGATCTACATTTTTAGTTATCTAAGAAAAACAATCTTCCTTCTAGAAAAATCACTGGAAACCCTGTTAGTGGCCATCTAAAAAGTTTATTATCTAAAACAGAAATTTCTTGAAAGTAAAAGGGGACATTATTAATAATGGTGACAGGAACATGAGCAGATACCAGGACTGTCTGAAGAAAATTGGGGCATGGGTTACCCTGCTCAATCTGCAGCACCCACTAGTGCCTTAATACAAATGTGCCATTGGCCTCCAGAAGTGGTTCTGTCTTTGTCGCTGTCCACTACTGAGGCATGCTGAGTGCCTCTCTCTGTTGAAGTCCTGGGGAGATTGGAGAAGTCCTAGCCCAGTTCTGGTCCTTGTAGAATTTGAGTTCCACTTCCCCCTTTGACCTTTTGCTCATGCTGCCATGTTTAAGTCACCAAGAAGGGCAGTCTTTGGGTATCAGAGGTGATGCAGGTGGCTATCAGACTTGGCTGTCTGACACATGGGCACTGGGATAGAGATACCTATCATGAGTATCACTATATATTTCTTCTTCTGTGTATGTTCTCTTTCTGATAATTCATGTTAAAGAATTTTCTTCCACTTTTCATTGCACTAAGTGGGTCTCTCCACACTGGAATTTTGCATTTTCTATGGGAGGGTGAGAGGGACCATGTGTTAGATCACATCACTGAAGATCAAACCACTTTCAACAAGCAGTAACAACCTAGCATCCTAGCAGTAGTAAGTTTTATACTTGGCATTTAGATGAAGAACAAAGAAAGTTTGGGGGCATTTCAAAATAATGAAAAGCAGTCTTTTGAAATGCAAAGATGTAAGTCCCTTTCAAGGAAGCAAATTATACAGCAGTATATAAGAAGAAAGGTGGAGAGAAGGGCTGAGGGTAGTGGGAGGGTGAAAGAAATTGTTTAATGGATAGAGAAATATGCAGAAAGGTGACTGTCGGGTCTCTTATCCCTTAGATAAAACCACCCATCTACTCATCAAAGATGAGAGGAAAAGTAGACTGGCTTTATTCCTTTGACAAGGATGCACCAATGTGGCAGAAAAAGAGGCTATGGAGTTGGTAATAGCTCATTTTCATTTACCAGTCAGCCTAAACCATTCCATCGTTCACTGTATAAAGAGTCCTTTCAGGAGATCTGGGACATGCAGTTTTGACAGGATCTACAGTGGCAAGAAAAGAGAGAGGAACAGAGGGAAGGGAGGCTGATGTATTATTTACAGTTGGAGAACTTGAACAGAGCCCACTGCAGGGGTTGCCCAAAGTCTTACATTTATAGGGCTGTGGAGTAAAGACAGACATCTTTGAATCTTTGCTGCTGCTCTTTTTGCTGCCGGGGAACACTGCCAGGCTGGGCCAGCATGTATGCATCTCATCTCACCGTTGCTGCCATCTGCCTGGCCCCCACTCACCTTTCCCTGTGACCCAGAGGGGTAAAGACCTCCATAGAAAAGTGCCCGGCCTCTGGAGGCTGGCAACAAGGGCATCATTACGATGGCTATGACAGGTCTGATAAGTGTGCAGATGGTAAGATAGCACACAGCCACACGCGCATGCACACGCATACCCACTCCCCGAAGTCACGCAGTGGGCAGAGAGGAGGGACTTGGGGAATCTGATCCAAAAGGAACAAAGGCTGCAGCCTCTGCAGTGAGCTGAGCGAGAGTGACAGGAGGACAGCTAAAGGAAACGAAAAGCAAATTGGGAAAACCCTCAGCAAACGCTGCCAGAGAGCATATGCATCGGACTTCACAGCTTTCTCCTGCTTCCAGATTACATTTGCTCCATATGCTGCTTTACACAGCTTTCTGGGGCCATAATGGGTTTTATTCCATAGTTTTTGTACTAACATGAATGACTCACATCTGCTCCAGTACCCAATTTGCTCTCTAATGTCTTCAGCTGTGAGGAGAGAACAGCTTACACAGAACTTGCCAATGACAGGAGTGGCACAGAGACTCTTAATCCAGGGATGAGGAAGGTTAGACCCCTATTTAGGGGTTGCACATTTGTGTGAGTTGGAAAGATCTTTTTAAGAATGATGTTACATATGGGAAAATCAAGACAGAAAGAAACAAGGAACTTGCTAAAAAATATCACCACCAGGGAGGTAGATCCATTTTAGGGCTCTAGGATGGTCCTAATTCAGACCATACTTATTTTTCTCATTTCTTACCATATAAAATCTTTTGCAAGGAGCTTTTTCTCCCCATATTGGCTGTGATGAGAAAAAAGTAGTTTGGATTAATCACTAATGATAGCTAATCCCCCCACTGGGATCAACCTTGTCTTGCGTTACTTAAGCCAGTTATTGAAGAGTTTAAAATATCTTTCTGAGCATAGGGACCCCTGAAGAGGCTGGGTCTCAGGAGAGACCCAGAGGGCTAGACCCTGCATAGAGACTCACCTGGCTTCTAGAGGGTTGACGATCCACCTGAAATCTATTTCAATCCTAATGACACTTACTGCTTTGACAACCCAGACTAATATGCCCTTTGGCTGGATCAGGTAATGACACTTAGCAAAATTGGATTCCCTTGACAGCTTTCATAGGGCCAGGAATTCTTCCCTGTGCGAGTGGAGTAAAATAATGATTTAAGAAGCAAGTACCTTGGAAGGAAATCTCTGCTCTCCTGTGCATTGCAGGCCCCACATGGAGCTGCCTCACTCTATGACCTCAGTTTCCCCATATGCCAAACAGAATGAGGCACCTCGGCAGCAGGCAGTGTGGGGCTGCACCATCTCGAAAGCTTGGCGGTGGTGTTGTGTAACTGTCTGCCATCTGTTACTCAGAAGCAGCATCACAAAGCGCTGAGCAATGGACTCCGGTGCTGCAGCTCCTGCCTGGAGCTGACAGCAGCTCTGTGGCTTGCTTGGGGGTTCCCTGCAGAGCCTGCCGCAGAACCCTTTTCAGGCCCAGGCCTGCAGGTCCAGGGTGAGGCTCCTGGAATAGATCCAGGGAACTCAGCATGCTGGAGTGGGGTGCTCTTGCTGCTCCTTGCCCCTCCCACCACAGTGATCTGCTGGGCCTTTGCCTGGCCAAAGTGGTGGCTGGGGAGCCTACCCAACCTTTCAGTGGGTAGTGTGCCAACAAACGCAAGTGCTGCACCATTCCCAGGGTTCTGTGTGGTGGTCTGCAAGTTCCACCACATCTGGAGATGGGCTGGCAAGCTCTTCCTGGCTGCTTGTTTTCCACAGCTGTTCCTGACCAAATTTCTTACCTTCAGCTTGGTCAAGGACTCTTAGGGGCTGTGAGACAGGACTGCCTCTGGAGGCTTTGTATAGGCTTCTCTGTTTCTGAGTACAAGTCCTGGGGGCTCCTTCTTACTGGAAGAGGAATTCAGGATACCTAACTTACTCCTTTCTCACCTGTAGTCAAGTATGGGTGCTTCCCCTATCTTGAGCTATGTGGACAGAGAGGCAGTGAGGATGGTGGCTGGAGCAGTTGGAACATGGTTCTCACCTTAAGAAACCTGAGGTAAGCATCCTTCCAAGTAAAATGACATGGCTGTAGCAAGCCACTGCTCCCCAGGCAGAACAAGGTTTTTGTTTTGGTTCTTTGAGCTCTCAGATAAGATCAGCACCTTGTATTCAGCTTCCACAGCCATTCACTGATTGTCTGTCGCAGGAGGTATTTGTCCTCCCTGTTTTACAGATGAGGAAGGTGAGGCAGAGGAAAGGTAAAGGACTTACCTACATTTTGCACTACTGGTGTGGCTGGGCTAGGTCGGGGTTCTCTAGTGATATGGTCTATCCGAAGGCTACATGGGGATCGGATTCATAATTTGCTCTGTCTCTAGCCCCAAGTCGTTTTAACCTGCACATAGGAGAAAGCACTTCCCAAGGGCCATAGGAAAAGAGGCTTTTGAAAAATAACTCTCTGTGTCCAGTATTATTCTGCTTAGGGTCACTTTCCAAGCATCCCGTATGTGTAGCCCAACTTTGTACCCCTTTCCTGATGCTTATAAGCAGAGAAAACCCTTCAGGAGTTAACTGCGCCTTAATTTTTAAAAGGACATTTCTTTAAAGTTAAATTTAGACTAGCTGAGCTTTCCATTAAGTGGAAAAAAAAGTTGCTAGGCACCTGCTCGGAAGACATAGAAATGCCCTGGGGAGTTGGCTGAACTCGACCTTGGCCAGGCAAGTGAGCCCGGATTGGGGCAGCAGTTCTGCCAGCCACACCATCCTGGCTTTGGTTCCAGGAGGGCAAACCCTAGTGTGAGTGCATGTGCAGAACCCCCGCACCCCCCCGCGGTGAGCGGGAACTCTTGCCAGGCAGTGCCCTACCTGGTGCGGGCCGGCCCTTCAGTGTCAGCTTGCAGCTGAGGTGGCGGGCATCCGGGGTGCACTGTTCTGGCCCCACCCCAACCCAGGATGGTCCCGGAGGTGCGTGTCAGGGTTGGCGCGGGCAGCCCCTATAACGCACGGTGCGCCTCGTTCGGCTGGCGGTGGTAGCGCCCCCTCTCACAGTCCCGCTCGCTCCCGCTTGGCTCCTCGGAGTCAGTCTGTCGGTCGGGCCCGCCCTCTCCCGCGCTCCCTCCTCCTTGTGCTCCTCTGGGGGTGCCGGGCACAGCCTCGGATTCCGCCCTCCCGGTACGAGTCAGTTTCCCTCTCGGCGGCGGCGGGCAAGGCGGCAGACGCGTGGTGAGCATCTCGGCGGCCACCGCGCTTTTCCGGCTGGAGTGGGCGCCCAGCTTGGCTGCCCCTCGGCCCTTCCTGCCGCGTCTTGGGTGCCCCGCGCCCCCCGCCGCAGCTCGCTCCTCTCGGAAAGGGGCGGGGTCGCCTTGCAGCGTTCTGCAACCTTCCACCTGGACACCGGGACTGGCGCTCCCGCAAGCGAGGTGCTGTCGGTTCCTCCTGCCCCGCCGCCCCTCGCCGCCGGGGGGTGCCCCAGGGACGTAACACCGCGGAGAGGAGGAGGCAAAGGGGATCATGCGGCGCCTGACTCGCCGCCTGGCGCTGCCGATCTTCGGAGTGCTCTGGATCACAGTGCTGCTGTTCTTCTGGGTCACCAAGAGGAAGTTGGAGGTGCCGCTGGGACCTGAAGTGCAGACCCCCAAGGTACACGGCTTGGTTGAGCGCCGGGCGCACGGCAGTGGCTTGCGAGAGGGCGCGCAATCCGCGCGCCAGGTTTGCGGGCTCCTGGGAAGCCAGGGCGGGGGTCTGGGTGCTGTCAGCAGGTAACGCGCTGGCTGAGGCCACCGCGAGGTGTTTCTGGGCGTCTCCGGATCCGAGGTGTGTGTAAGTGGCAGTGGGCGTGGGTGGTGGGCACGCGCGCTCGCGGGCCGAGCGGGGCTCCTAACTTCAGTGGCGCGCGAGGGTCCCGCGGCGGAGGGGGCGCTGCGGACCAGGAGCCTACGGATTGGCGGTCAGCGGACGCCTCCAGAGGGTCGCTGGCGGTTGGGTGGGTGACACCACCAGCCAGCGCCGGCGCCCGCGAGAAGTCTGGTAGCCGGGCTGACCTCTTTCCCTCGGCTGCCAGGCCCGAGCTAGGGAAGCTGGAGGCCGGGGTGCGCCGCGCGCGTGAGCGTCGCGCGCGAGCGCAACGCAGCCTCCTGGAGACTGCCGCCCTGGCCCCTCCCGCCTATTGCCCCCAGCTCTATATCTGTTCCCAGCCCCTCAGCAGCTTTGGAAGTTGAATGTGCTCAGAACACCACTATGGAGCCTGCAAAAGCAGACGCCTGGATATTGGTGGCGATTTGGGGAAATGGGAATCTAAGTGGCTTTTCCAACTCCTGCCCAGTCGGTGCATCTGAGCGAGCGGAGCAGGAAGGTTACCGCTCAGACTCGCTTCAGATTCCAAGCCCTGGATCTGGTTCACAGACTTGGCCATGGGACACAGAGGGAGAACGCTGGGGGATTTGCTGGCACTCAGGCAACGTTTATGAACTGGGTCCAGAGCAGTCCTCTAGGTACTGGGAAAAAGCCTTGGAGAAGCTTGTAGGGGAGACTGAGAAACTGAGCATGTGGATGGGAGGGAGTCTCATTAGGAAGTACAATAGGAAGTTCCTGCTGTGTGCTGGGTACGCAGTGGGTGCGTTCCCAATCAGCACTTGTTGGGTGGTATTATCTTTAGTTTATAGATTGGGAAGCAGGTGAGAGTCTCGAAGTAGTCTTAGGTCACTCTCTGTTTGAACTCAAACCTTCACTCTCAGGATTTCCCACTATCTCGGGGGTCGGCTCTCATATTTCCCTTTTAAGTCGTTTCGGATTCTTGACAGTGCTCAGTTGATCTCAACAAGCGTTTATTTAGCACCTGTGTGTGCCAGGGAGCGTGCTAGGTGATATGGGTGCAGAGATGCAGAACTTGCTCTCCAGTAATGGGAATTTGCTCATCGATGGACCGGGACATGCAGGGCAGAGGGGCAAGAGGCTTCATTGCACTGGGTGTTCTGAAGGAGGACAAGGCAGAGATGAGTTGAGAAGGATGGTCGGTTAGACAGTAGGCAGGAGGGCATCCCAGGTAGAGGTTCACTGCAGGTACATGGTATGTTGTGTGAATTTGGCATAATTCCAAAACAAAGAATGTGGAGGCCAGAGGGGTAAGACTGGGGAGAGGTATGTAAGGTTGGATCTGGGAAGGACCTTAGGGTGTTGGGGGGCGGGGAGGAGGATTGTTTAGCAGGTCAGATTGGTGACTTCAAACAGCCTGCTATAGAACTAGGTCCATTTTCTCACTGGCTCAGACCCTGCCCATGCATCTGTAGAATTTTTTTTCCTTTTCTCTAGGTGGTTCTGCTCCTTGTGATGCAGTTAATGATGCTTGCAGGGACACGAACTTTCTCAGTTTTGCATTGAACCTCATTATCTTAAGCTTACTTAGTCTTAGTTTACCTCAGGGATCTGGAACAAGAGATCTGTTTCCTTCTGTGTGCACTTTGTCCTTCCCCCTTTTCCCACCTCTTCTCATCCTGGCTGTGTCTAACACACATTTATTGAGGGCAGCTAAGGGTCCAGTTCTCTTCTACATTGGGGGCTGCTGTGATGGGGACTGGATGGGTCTCATAAGTTCCTGGCTGAGGCAGAATTATAAGCAAAAGTGTGGTCTCATATCAGGAGTCCATCATACAGCTATCCAGCCACAGAAGACCCCTACTCTGTCTTAACATCTTATCTCTCCTCGCATTTTGTATATCCTTCTATAACCATGAATTCTATAGGCTTTTGAAATCTTGATATCTTTTATTACTAAGTGGCCTGTTTCCTTTGTTAGTGTTTTTCACCTGTGTGTGTGCCTACCTATATGTGTTGTATTTTGTGTCTAGTGTGTGAATGCCCTGTATCTTAGTGACTGTGTATCTGAGGAGAGGGGAATAGGGACACAGAGACCCCTTCTTAACACCAAAGCAGTTCTACTTCCCTTGACTAGTATGAACATGAACTTTGTTTGGCATGTCTGAAGGAGCAAAGTATTCCCCAAATGTGACTGCTTGTGGAATCATCTAGAGAGCTTGTTTAACATACAGATTTTTGGGTTTATTGCAGAGATTATGATTTGGTGGGTTTGGAAGAAGGTTCTAGAACTAGTATTTTTGTAAGCGCTCCATGTGATTCTGAAGCACCTTGTTGATGGATGGCATTTGGAATCTAGGTGAAGAATGTCAAGACGGTTGATGTTTTGTAGTTTGGTTGACACCATGTAAACATGGCCAAATGATTTTCTTCTTCTTTTAAAAATCTTTTTATTAGCATGTATTAATTATACAAAGGGGTTTCATTGTGGCATTTCCATACATGCGTATAATGTTCTCTGATCATATTCACCTCCTCCATTACTCTTTCTTATTCCCCCTCCTTTTTTCTACAGTTTTTAATGAGTTTCATGATTGCTATTTTCATCCATATATATTATGGACTACAGTCATTCACCCCCATCACTCTCTCCTTTCATCCTCTCCCCTCCTGGTTGTCACCCTCAAACAGTACCCCATTTTACACTCATGAGAGAGAACATGTGATACTTATCTGAATCTGGCTTATTTCACTTAACATGTTGATCCATTCATATGTCTTGCCAATGACATACCTGAGTATGCTCGTGGACCTAATCTTGTATGAGCATTGGCACTGATGTTAAGTAACAATCATTAGCATTTATGTAGTGATTTACAAATTCACAGTCTCTATTTCACATATAGTAGGTCACTTAATCTTCACAACAACTACATAAGGGAGATAATATTTTTAAGCAGATGGGATTGAGTAATTAGACATTTGTACCAAGATAACAAGGCTCTTCAAGTGACAGTGTCAGGACAAGAATGAAATGAGAGTGGTCAGGTAACTGCCTGCCCCATAATGCTTCCATGCTGCTAACCTGATGGATGGTCTGAGAGTCTCCACTTGTGACCTATGCAGCAAGGTTGGAGATGTGTACAGCATGAGCTCCTCACACACTTTCGAGAGCATCCTCATGCTTGCTCTCAGCAACCACTAAGGGGGCCGGTGTAATTATGGAGGTGCTAAGGTAGGATCAGAAGGAAATATCATTCTGTCCTTGGAGGAGTTCATGGAGACCTCAGGAGGTTCCTCTGGCTGGTAGGAGTGCATCCTGTGGGGAGACCCTTCAGACTGGTGGTCCTACACAATGGTTGCAGCATCACTGGTCTAGGAATCATTTGCCAGTGCAGGGATGGGACATTTGTTGATCATTGGAAAAATCCGGGCTTTGAGTGAGTTCAGCACACTAGGTTTTTCTAGGATATGCCCATGCATAGTCATGGGGAAAGCTCTTGCTTAGATATGCTGAACCTTGGGGAAGTTTTCATCCTGATGAGATTTCTTCCTTGTGTAGGGTAGAGAAAAGGGGTGATCCCTTTCCCACCCATTATAAAGGGTCATGACGGACACCCATATAACAAAAGACAGATTAGCAGGAGAAAAGCAAAGCAAATTCATTTGATGGTAGTTTTGCATGACTTAGGAGCCTTTTGATTGAAGACCCAAAGACCCAGGGTGAACTATCTGTTTATGTGCTTAGATTTGATGGAGAATAGATGGCTGTTTAGAACTAGCACTGGACAAAAAAGATCTAATGCTGATAAGTGGAATGGGGAAACCAGAAAGGCCAGTTTAGGTTTTTATTTTTTTTTTTGCCTCTATGCAATGGTATTTCCTGCTGGGTGCCTGGCAGGATCCTTTCTGGAATGAGGGTCACATGATCTACTATCAGACAAGGTATGTTAGAGAATTTCTTTACGGCTGGCTAGAAGACACAATGTTGGGGGAGGATGTGATTACAGTAATATTTTTAGGCTTAATGACTTGCTTTGGGGGAAAGGAGTTCTAGTTTCTGTGGCCCACCTTGGGGAAGAAAAATTCTAGTTTCTGTGTCTTCCTTTTGGTGGGGAGAATGAGGACCAGGAGACAGGAGGATATGAAAAGTTCATAGACTTTGCTTCTGAGCCTTCACTTTGGGATATTGTTTTTTGAGCCCCAACAAATATGCTGAGAGGGTCAACTTATTTTCCAAAGCAAGAACAGTAGGCTTCCTTCTCATAAAATCTGAAGAACTTGGGAATAGTTAGAGATGGGAGAAGCTCCTGGGTTGGGGACTGCCCAATTTACATTCTGTGGGATAAGCTACCTCTACAGGGGTCGGGTTCAGGTCTTGTGCTAGGATCTCAGGGCCTTATGCTACTTTCCTTACCATGCTAGGAAATGTCCTCATTCACCTGGTGATGGTGTCTCCATAATATGCCTGATACAACCTATGCCCTGTCTGTCACAATCCAAGTGATGTGAACAAGGCACGCTGCACTCCTAGTCTAAGAAAATTAATTGGATTTTTTTTCTTAGTTTCAAGAAGGGCTGGTTCTATTAATAGCTCAAGTAAAGATTTCTTTAAACTTGAGTTTTTAATGTTGATTCAATTTTAGTTTTGGTTCCTGGTCCCCAAATTATTCAGCAAAGTTCTAAGCTTCTAATTGAAAATCAGGTAACAAGTTTGATGTTTTAATTCCAACTGTATTTTAATGGTAAATATTATATCACTTAAAAGGACCTGGAAAATATTTTCCTTTCTTTTCTCCTGTCATTTGTTTGCCATTTGGAAAATTATA